CCTTGATCTCCTCGTCTGTGAGATCAATGAAATAGCTGTCTTGATTTGGAGTCCATATAAAATTCTTTTTTGTCTTGTTAGATTGTTCCTGAGATCAATGAAATAGTTGTCTTGATTTGGAGTCCATATAAAATTCTTTCCTGTTTTGTCAGATTGTTCCTGAGAATTTGCTTCTTAGAAGTCCATACATAAACGGAGAACACACCCGTAATCCATAGAAATACTCTTATGAATGTAGCTAAATACATATTGCCTATATTTGATCCAACATTCTATCAAACAAAATTTAAGCAAATCTGTTTTGGGGTCAACATTCAATGATTCTATCAAAAAATAATTAATTGGGACTATGTATTGAGAAGGTAAGGGATAACATGAATCCATTACACATAGTTATACAAACATTAGTGGATAAGATCAATCCATGAACTTGCCCTTTGATAATAATCATTTGTCTTTATAAGCAGAGTCAAAAATAGAAAACATCATATTTTCTCAATAAAGAGATAAAATTTATCTTGACATGCCCAATAATCTTTGTGTTCCACAAATCGAAGGCAACTTGGCCATGCGTTCAAACATCAGACATAGTTAATCATCTCAGATTGATTTGTCCAAACTCCAAACTAAACTAGGATAGTCAATTTGACACTGAGTTTAAGTAAATAATTAAAATTTTGGCACCATTTTATGCCAACCAAGAGGAAAACAAGAGCTTGGCCAACAATTAAGACGAACCATCTTAAACGTAGGGAAAATTTGCAAAAACCCCTCCAAAATGGACTTTTTACGCACTTTACCTCACTTAACTTTTCCTAACAAATACCCCCATACAAAAGTTCATTATTTTTGGATGAAAATACCCTTCCTCACTTAACAAATTATTTTCATTTGAGAGGGCGGTCTGGCATGTTGAACAAGAGGTCCCGCGTTTCATGGTGGTGGTCTGGCGTTTCATGGTGGCGGTCCGGTGATTATTTTTTACTGGAATGGGCGGTCCGACGTTTTGAAGTTGCGGTCCGGCATTTTGAAGGGGCAGTCCGGCATTTTGAAGTAGCAGTGAGCAGTCCGGCATTGTATAAGTGAGGTCCGGCGTTTCCTTTTATTGAGATCCGAAAATTATTTGTTACATGAGGCGTTGTACAAGTGTGGTCCGGTGTTTCATTTTATTGAGATCTGAAAATGATTTGTTACATGAGGGAAGGGTATTTTCATAAAAAAAAAAAATAACTTTTTGTATAAGGGTATTTGCTAGGAAACATGATTTTTTATGGGAAGTTACTAGGAAAAGTTGGGTTGGGGGTAAAATGCATAAAAAGTCCATTTGGGGGGAGGGGTTTGCAATTTTCCCTAAAAAGTACCCCAAGAATTAAATTTAAGAAGGTTAACTAAGGCATGACAAATATTCCACACTATTGCCATTCCACTCTCCCTTCTAGAAATATCTTATAGAAAAGAGGAACGTGAGTACTGCAGTCTTCTAATAAACATAACTTGTATAGATGGATATATGCAATGTGCCTCAACCCATAGCATAATCCGCACAAGATCTGCAAATTAGTGAACTGGAAACCACTAACCAAACATAAATGGTAAAAATGGGCAACAATCAACTCAAAATCTGATCTGCGTAGAAATGACTCATATACCAGCATCTAATCACACAGCTCAAATAAAAGGCAGAGGGAAAATCCCCAATACATACAAACATTCAACTTTCACAGTATATAAGAATTTAAACATTCATCTTTCAAAGTATTTCGAATATATTTTGTATAGTGCTGAATTTTATGGCACTTGAATTTCAATGGGTGTATGAACAATCACGTTACACAGTTTGGTTGGACTTTTGTAAAGGGACCTAAATAGAGTTGCAATCCTTGGATTTAACAGTGTGCGTATGTAATTAATATTGTTGTAATTAAAAGCAAAACTTGTCATACGTCATGTAATTGAATTGTATTTGTAGTTGTGCTTTGAGAATTTTTTCAAGTCTTGTAACTTCGACTTGATTCCATACACGGTCATGAATGGCTAGCAGCAGTGGCCCCATAGAGAACTAATTCTTTTTGATGGAATTTTTGAAGAAATTTTCGGAAGAGGATACTTATTGTCCACTATGCATCAATAAATCATTGTTAAGCCTAATTTTCTGGTTTGATAAAAATAAATCAAATTCAAGGTCCCTCTTATATGCAAAAATAGGAACTCCCACTAGATTTGTGTGCTCAACTGACTAGGAAAAATAGGCCATGATACAAGGATGAGCAATAAAATATAAAAACAAACACACCACAAGAATATATATAGTTCATCCAGATGGGCGACATCCACAGACATGACAAACTAAAACATTTGTAGACCACTTCTCCCCAAATGAAATCACCAAACTATCTCCTATATCCACTACACAACTAAACTACTTTCTAAGAAGATAACCTTGAGACCACTTGACACTTTCTCTCGCTAAAAGGGGATACCATCCAAAATCTCTATGGGAACAGCTTCTCTATAAAAAATCATCATCTCGATTTGTAAGAGGAAGCCATAGTTTTTATATGGTGATTGCAAATAAGGCAGACCAATTTTATTTCCGTTCATTATTATGTATTAGAAATCCATACAAAACAGAGAAATCTAATGGATTTCTTAATCCATTAAGAAACTTATTAATATGAATATCAATCCCATATAACATGGGATATCTTTATGGTTGTGCTTTCGGAGATCGCCATATTTAACAATCTCCACCTTGCTTGCCATACTAGCACCATTGAATAGCTTTATTGTTTCTTTCCTTTTACCAAATAAAATTGTGTCATTCTTGTTCATGAAGATTGTGTATACCATCATATTTCTCCACCTCAAAGAAACATCCACGTATTTTTCCATATAACCTTTTTTTTTATTGAATGGACAAACCCAAGCGTTATACTGAAATACAAGCCTTAGAACTTGTCAGTATTTACGAACCCTCTTATACACTCTAAAAGTTTGATCACACTAGGATTGTGTACTTCAATGTTTTGAATTTATTTTTTGCAAAGTATAAACCATAATATGAGAAATAAAGAATAAAACACATACATCATAAAAAACATAAAGATTGACATGATTCATCGCAAAAAGGATACAACCATGTGCTGGGAAAACTGAAATTCACTATAGTGATGAGAGTTACATAATAAATTTTTAGACACAGAGTTGTCTCTCTAACCCTTGGCAAATACTAGTGGAGCAACCATTTTATACCAACTCTCCCGACCGACCTAGAACTCACTTCAAGGAGGTTTGCAACAGTGATTCATAGCACCAACAAGAAGCGTGGAATCACTTTTTATGACAAGAGGTACACTGTTCAAGTCTTGCTAGGGAAATCCCCTTCTCAAGTGCAAGAAATTCAGCTATGTTATTAGAATTGTTACCTAATGGAGCTGCAAATGCTACAATGAAACCGCCTGTATCATTTCTGATGATATCCCCACAACCAGCGTTACCTGGGTATTTCGAGGAAGGCCCATCAATGTTGAGCTTCAAAAAGTCTAAAGTAAGAGGCAACCAGGCCACATGAATTCGAATAGGGGGAGATACCAAACTCCATTGCAGGTTAATACTGGAAGCTATATTAAATTATGAGGAATTTAATGCCCAATTTTTTACTTTGCCAAGGATCTAACCAAATGGAAAATACAACATAGCAGTAGCTCCCTAGGTGTTCTCCATCATGGATCCAAGAATTCCACTCCATCTAAAGCTTCCAATTGGTAAGAAAAACATACAGTTCCAAACAAAAACCATATCTGCAGATCGAAATCTAAATTTAATCCACTTGGCTATCAGTGTCACTGTGGACTGCTCAAGGGAGAAGCGCTTCCCAAATCTACTAAGAATAGATCTCCAGACCTGTCTCGAATACTGGCATTGCACAGTGCTATGGTCAGAGAGCTCCTCCCCTTGGGAGCACAATTGGCATGTGGAAACCGAAGCAAGGTCCCTCCACTAAAAAATAGAAACTCTTTAAAGCAAAACCTGTTTATTTTTTTGCATTGAGTGCCACTGTCTTCACCTCTGTTTGCAACTTGGACAGGGTTGGATTTCTTATTGTCCTCATCCAAAAGAGTATGGCTTGCTTTGTATTCATGTTTGTTGTCATGCAATAGTCTAAATCATGAAGGCCTGTGCTTTCCTTTTTTTGATGAGGAAATAATAGGCATCCATGGATGGGCATCTATGTGACCACATGGTTGTGGATGGATAGAGTAAAATAAGGAGTTTGAAATTTTTTTGCAGCATTTTCCATTATGCTTTCCAAAAAGAACCAAATAGAACGATGGGAATACTGGGAGAAAGGACTTATAACATGTAACTAAAAATAATATGAAAGATTTTACTTGGCACACGGCTTTAGAGTATAATTGGGGTAAGAAAGCATATCTAGCCACTGTAATTCCGAATGGACAGTCAAGATTTATTGGTGATCACCCATATGCTCCGATATGGGCCTTAATCCTAGTCCTTGATCTCGTCCACCCACGAGGAATGACGATCCAGATGTGCTGAAATTATGGAATCCCCTATGATCAGCCATCACAGTATGTGACACAAACTAAACTTTTTTTATTTTTTTTGAACCAGAAGTGAAACAAACTAAACATATGAAAGGGGGAAAAGAAAAAAAGAAAGAAAAAATATATCTCTGACGTGCACATTCTAGTTCAATATCTTTGGAATCTTCTCAAGCAAATTATTTTATTAAGGACATGGGTCCCTTTGACACATCAACCACGGAGTTAGGGATACAACATGGGTTATTGAATGGACACAACTGCCATTGTTAAAGGGAGTTAAAGAACGAATATTCTTGGAAAGGAAACCAGAGTAAATGGTAGTTGCTTTTCATAACAATACCTCTTTTCGTAAAAGAAGTTGCATATGTCGAGGAAAAATAAAAATTTGAAGGCAGTGACATGGTAATGAAAACAAAAATTAAGAGCACATCATTAAGGTTTTAACTTTTAAGTTACCATTCTCTGCTAAATAGCTCTTTGCTATGAACATTGAGAAGCTCACAATTGCAATAACTCATAATAATCACAAGGAAGAGACCAGGCATTGACATGAAACATCAACAGGCCAAAAAGATGAGCTCCCAATGTATTGTTGCATTATGTGAAAATCATGAGCAATCATTCCAAGCACCAAGAAAGTGTCATCCCCTAATTAAAAGAGACAGTGTGGGGCAATCCACCTCTCCTCTCCCAACTTTCCTTCTCCATCCAGAAAAAAAAAGGAAAAAATTATTTTGAAGATGCAGAGAGAGAGAGTGAGAGAGAGAGAGGTTGAGAGGGAGAGAGCTCCTAAAACTGTTGCATTCAAGGTGCTCTCTTTCCTCTCAGCCCCATGGAGACCTAGAGAGAGAGAGAGAGAGAGAGAGAGATCGATCATGACATCCAATTCTTTGTGACTTTTTTTCCTTCTCAACCCCATTGAGAACCAGGCATCTGCTCTAGATCAAATGAAATGGTTTGCTCCCTTTCTCTCTCTAATGGCGCTCTAGGAACCAACCCAACATTGCTAAACAGCTGTGGTGCAGGCCAAGCTCCTGTAACACCAACACTATCAGTTTCTTCAACTTCAGGGCACTCTAAATCCACCCCAAAAAGCCTCACCCTCTTAACTCCATTCCCTGAGCTCATCTCACCACCATGACTTGGAACCCTAACATAGTACAACGACCCATTTGGTCTAGAACACCACAAAACACCATTATAATTATAGCCAACACCACCATTATCAATACTATCAGCACCATTAATACTACTAGTAGCGTGAATATTGTTGAGATTTCTATGCCATAACGGAATTTGGGGTGAAAGATTAGCTCTATGCTTGAAAGCAATGAAGAGCTTGCCTGAATGGCGAGAAAACGAGACGATGTCTCCTGCACAAAGTTGCTTCTCCTTCACAAAACGGCTCCACCCCTTTGTTAAGACATAGCTTTGGCTACTATTCCAATAAGAATACCTAAACCTCCATGGCTTGCCGGAATTGTCTTCAAAGCCTAGCAGAAGGCCTTTCTCATTCGATGTTTGGTCTAAAGGGAAGTATTTCTCCGCGTGTTGCTTCGGAATAACAAGTCGGTTAAGCTTTCCGACATCGCTTGGAGTCAGCGGCTTGTCAAACATGTGTTCTCTCTCTTCCTCCATTCTTTGAAGCTGGGTTTCCCTCTCTTCCTCTGAATCTCTCTCCTCTCTTTCTTATTCTGCAAATTCTTCTTCTTTGACGAATTCCTCCTTTTGTTTTGTGCTTGTCAGCCTCCAATTCCTCTTACTAAGCTCCATTGCTTACCTGCTTGAGGGCATTTAAAGAGATGCTATCTTTGGTGTAGAAAAAAAAAAAGGGGGAATCATGAGAGAGAAAATTAACAAATACCGATGAGGGTACCTGTGCAAGTGGTATGATGTAGAACCCACATAGCAATCGGTTGAGGAAACGTTATTTTTGAAGTACAAGAGGATTTAAGGTTTGCAGGCAAGAAGAGGGGAATGAATCGATGGCTTGTGAGAGAGAGATGAATATTCCACTGCAATAAGGAAGCAATGAGGTGGGGAAGGATGCTACCATGGAAAAAGAACGCTTTCTCCCTTTCCTTTCTTCCTTCTCCCCTGCCAAATGACCCTCTCTCTATCTATATCCCTTATTGGGGGCTCCCCCAATTTGCTTTCTCTCTCTAAAACTGGGCAAGTGCCTGGTGTTGAATGGTTAGTGAGATAAAAGAGCGCTGAATTCCCCCACCCCACAAATAGAGAAATGGGTTTTGCTCAGGGCATGGACCCAATGAATTATATGGGCCTCCCCTATTTGGCTGGGGCTCACGTGAGCTTGTCAATGTCATAACCTAGTGGCCCATTATTGGGTTTTGGCAATTTCTAACTAAGTTCAAACCAGCTGGTCAGGGTGAACAGAGAAGATCTTTTTCCTTTCATTAAAAATGAGGAGGCCAATTAAAGGGATAAGATATCCATGGAGTGATTAAGGGCCAGGCATCTCTCTTGGTTTGGTTGGGGTTGGATTCTGACCTCCCTCGCTCCCAATCATCATCTTGTTGGTCTAACCAAGAGATATTTGGCTTGATTTCCAAATGTGTACAAAAACCCATTTCCCATTCTCTCTCCTCTCCTCTTTTTAGGAGAGAGAAAGTCCCCACAATGCAAGCCCCACTCACTTCTTTGGAAAATATACTGGTCTCATATAGATGTTTTCTAGTTAGTTCTGATGTAATCCCTGTCCCTCTCTCTCTCTCTTAGTATGCTCTTATAAACCACATATTCTCTCTCTGCAAACAGACAAAAATTCCATACGCATGAATTTGTCACTCTCCAGTTAATAATCATTATCTTCTATCTATCTTTAAGTTTGGTTTGTCTGAAATTATTTTTTAAAAAATATTTATACATGAAAAAATTTGGTTTAGTGTGGGAATTATTTCATGTCAATTCATCTTAACAAGTCTTTTCACATTAATTGGTAATTTATTTATATAAAAATATTTCCACACATAACCGAATGAAAGAATTTTTTCATATAAAAATATTTTATGAAAAATAATTTGACGCTAATCAAAAGTGCACCTCATAACGGTATCTCTCTCTAGATATATAGACACATAAGAACGCAGGTTTATCTCTCAAAAAAATAGTTCCATGACATACACATCAGATGTTTAAACTCTCCAAAATATCCTCTCTCTAAGGAAACTCTCCAAAATATCCTCTCTCTAAGGGCTTATTTGTACCTTTCTTCAATGAATTCTTAAACCCACATTCTCTCTTCAATGTGAAAGCATGAAATTATAGAAGAACACACACATCAGGTCCTCTCTCTCTTTCTCTCTCTAGGTGGGCACTGGCGCCCACATGAGGAAGATGCCGTGCAGAGCAATTCATGGGGTTGGCGTTTGACAATTAATCCGTTGCCCAACGACCTTCTTTTTTATCATCTCAGTAATGGCAGGGACCTTCACTTTTTAAGCGACCACTTTCAACACTGCAATTAACAACCTACTGAGGGTTTCCTTATCAGTAGACATAATTATGGTTATCTCTCTCTCTATCAGTGTGACAAACAGGCATAAACACTAAAGCCACTTTCTGACCCCTTCCGCTAGGCTAAAATATAGGGGGTCCTAGTGAATTTTAGGAAATGATGGGTGCGCTTGAAAGCTGAAATAATGATGCCTCTAATGCCATTCTTTTTTATACCAAACTTAAAATTCTAGCAAATTTAAAAAGTTCTTTTATTTATGTCCTCATGTTTTCAACATTCTACTTATATCACCCTATATTTTAAAGAATAAAAATATATGAACCATGGTGTGATCAAAATGAGTAAAACCTCATCTCATAAAGAAAATTGCAATTCAAGATTTATAAAACATTTACATCTATCATCTTGGCTTTGAGCATTATAGTAGTTTTGAAAAAATAGGATTTCAAGCTCTAAAGATAATGTTATTGTAACAAATTATCTAGATGTCTATATCACCTTAAAAATAAGTGTTCATAGATCCGCACGTATCATTTTTTTAGTTTCCAATTTCATTATCGGTTTTGACATTTGGTTTTAGTACCATCATTTAGATTTCCATTTCTGAAAGTGCTTTCTTGATGAAGATTTGAGGTGAGGCATTTATTTTATTTTCATAAAGCATAGGCATTATGGAAACCTTATCCAAATTCTATATATACTTATTAGGTTGAGGAATTAATAACAACCTAAACGGTTTTTACTTTGTTTCTTAAAAAAGTTTAATGTTCAATGAATGATATTTTTTTGTCAAATCCTTCCTAACATGGCATTGGAATCTAATGCTAGTGAATGAAACAACATTGTGGGAATTTTTCTTTTAATGTTTGTCGGAGTTCTTCCAGTTCATTTGAGACTAGGTTCTCTAGAAAAAGGGCAGAAATCTCCCCTTGATCACCCAACAACTTCTATACCTTTATTTTTGTTTGTCCTAAATTTAAACACCTTTTTGTTTGGGAAAATCATTTTATGAGTAAGGGGACGCATTGCTACATTTACATCCCCCGAGATACAAAGTATTCATTTTAAAGATGGATGATATTGGGCAGTCTATTTAAAAATAGTTGAAACTAACTATCCAAATGTTTTTTTTATAAAACTATTATTTTAAATATTTGAAATTTTTTTATTTTTCTATATTCATGACCTCCATATTAGAGATTATATGCCTAAAAATATTTAAGTCTAAAAATCCATCTCAAAAGTAGATTTTTAAGAGGGACTCATTTCTACATGGACGTGTCCTTTTGTTTGAATGGTAAGACGTGGCCTCACCAAGTTCCACTGCATAGAGACTATATAAGGCACGTGGCTTACATGAGACCAAGAGAGAGCTAGACGATTCAATAATAAAATACTGATATATGAACTTCATGAACAAGCAAAACATAAAAAATAACTATAGTTTCAAACCCTTAATGAGGCATGTATTATTGCACTGTTCTTGAATCATAGATGGAGAATAAAAAAATTCAGTACTGCAGTGCTTATGAATTATACAAAGAGAAAAAAAAACACAAAAAAAATGGGGGGCTGTATTAATTTATTATATACCGAACTAGGGTGCAGACAATGTTAAAGATAACATTGTTTTAATAGCCTCATGTACTATTTTTGGGGATTTATTAATGCCCTCCTGTTTTTGTTATGGGCAGTGTCTTTTTTTTTGTTTTTTTTTCTTTTTCCATTTCAGAATTGGAAATTTTCATTTTAGGTTGTCGTCAGGTACATTTTGTTTCCAATGGATAATATAATTTTGAGTCTAGATCAGGTTCTCAAAATCGTCGGTTTGTATCGCCTAGGGCTAACTAGAATCGCTTGGAATCCGACCGAATTGGCCAAGTGGTATCGGACCGATTTTTGCCTGAAATTATGATTATCCAATTTTTAGAAAATCGGACAATTTCCGCATTTGATTTACAGAATCTAGTGTTATTGGGATTGGTCCAGTAGAAATTTATTTGAGGCGGATTGCTAGCTTGTTGAATAAGTGTACAAAATTCAAGGACTTCTTAAATATGATTTAAGGTGGGAAAAACATTTTACAATTCCCCAAAAGCAAAAGGAAACTATGATTTCGATTTACGAATTCATTGATCATGGTTTTTGGCTACAAAATAGTGAAATGCAGCTAGCCACATAACATAATGCCACAGTTTTTTCCCTCAAAAAATGTGAATAATTTTCAGAAAGAGTCCGAATTTTTTGGCTCAAACCTAGGGACTACAAATATGGCTGTGGGTGAGGTGGAAAGTGAAAACAGAAGTACAATAAATAAATAAATAATACAAAAACAACGCTTCTAAAGGTGAAGCAAGAACTAGGTTAAATTGTTCAAAAAATAGACAAGAAAAAGCTAAAAAACGGAAAAAACTGGCCGGCTGCACTAGGCAACAGTTTTGACTGGTTCAATGATTTTAGTGCTTGAAGACCCTATCAGATCCGCTAAGGGGTTGCTAGGGAGTTCCACCAGGGTCTTAATTGTTGGGATGTGAGAACCCTCTTAGATGTAGAAACATGAACCGCAAAAGTTATATCGTGCCATGATTATATACTTAATATTATATACTTAATTTGCTACAAACAAAATTGATGAGAGTATCACTATAAACCAAGCACAAGAAATAAACTAGAAAACACATGGAGAAAATGTTTACGTCGTTCACCATAAAGAAGTTACATCCATGGTCGTGGTAATGTAAAATCCATTATATCAATAGCAGGCCATAGAGTTACATCTTCATCCCTAACAAAAACCAACATGAGCAATTCTTTTAGACCTGCTTTCCAAAACGACTTCTCCTGCTGATTTGTCTTCTCTATTCCATACTTAAACTAGTGTCCCAAGAGAGAACCCAGAGAGCAACATAGGTTTTTTCTCACTAAAATAGGGATACTACCTAAAATCTCCATTATAATCACTTCTCTACAAAAAATGTATCTCTCACTACTTTAAATAGGAACCATCACAATATTTCTCTATCCAGGAAACACACTTTCTCTCTATGTGGAGGCTTTGCCTCTTTATGGCCGAGGACTACGCATCTCTCTTTAGTAGAAGCCACATCTTCCCTATGGTAACCCCAAATTGGACACATATATTTTTTCTCATTCCCTACATATAGAATATTAACCCCACATCAGATTATCTCAAAACCTAAGAAATATAACTTAGAATCTTAATCTAGTTGGACTTCTATTTTCATTACCCAATCTTAACTATAGTTATGATAGTATTTTAGTGGGTGGTGACTTTACTATCACCTTTTCTAACAATTTCCAAATTGATAGCAAAATTATGCTCATCATGCCAACAACCACTAGATAACTTTCTTATTTCTTCATTTTTGTCAAGTAAATCCTTTTGTCGTTATTATTGTAAAAGATTGTGCTCGCTATCATATTTTTCCATGTAATTTTCTTTAACAAAATGCACAAACTCAAGTCTTGTACTAAACAATATATTGTAATACCACTTGTTAGAATTCAAGAAATAGCTAGCAAGAAATTAGTGAGTACAACGCGTATTTTGAGCATGAAACATAAAGTATGAAGGCAAACACACTAAAAGAACACAAAATGGCTTATGTGGTTCTCCTGAAGGAGTTACATTCACAGGTATAGCAGATTTCTCTTCTTTTTTTTTTTTTGGTAAGTAAAAATTGGTATGTTAATGGGGATTTAAGCTCCTACCTTTCGGTGAAAATGGAGTCAGAGACTTCACCATGAGGCTCGGTAAATTTCTCTTCCCCTGATCAAAAGCATCATGCAAGCATAACTAGCCTTAAAATGGGATCTCACTCTCTCTAGATTTGCCCACCAAAAGGCTTACAATAACTCAATTTTTTATCTCTTTTTACAGATGCTAATTTCTCTCCCATTCCATATATATATAAATTTAGGACTCCC